ACCCTTAAGGATGACCCAGGGTTAAAAACTCGTGCTTTAGAATGAACATCGTCTTTAAGCCCAGTTAGTTTGCACAAATTTCAGAGCTGTAAACTTGTAATTTTTTACGAAGAAACAGCAGAGATTAGCTCTTCTGCGTAGCATAACAAAGGGACCCACAATTAGAAGCAGTGTCAGACCACCTGCCCCCTGCTCCCCGCCCCGGCGATGATCTGCCTTCCCGCCGGTTGTCCCTCTGCTCTGTTCCTCGGAGAACTGGGGCGGGGAGAGCGAAAGCGCTTCTCAGTTTTACTGTCACCTCCTCCCCGGCAGCTTTCCGCATCTGCCTGGGATTTGCTGACTACGATTCTGTAGGTGGCTGGGGGACAGGGTGAGGTGGTCCTCGGGCCTCCTACTAGCCCAGATGTTACCGTCAAGATTGCTCCTTCTGGGGCTGACCTACTAGCACAGCGGTTAAGTTCGCACGTTCCGCTTTGGCGGCCCGGGGTTCGCCGGTTCGGACCCCAGGTGCGGACATGGCACCGCTTGGCAAGCCATGCTGTGGTAGGCGTCCCACATATAAAGTAGAGGACAATGGGCACGGATGTTAGCTCAGGGCCAGCCTTCCTCAGCAAAAAGAGGAGGATTGGCAGCAGATGTTAACTCAGGGCTAAGCTTCCTCACAAAAAAAAAATATATATCGTTCCTTCTTTGATGTCACAATCCAGTTTTCAGTCTTGTTTTGTTTTTGTTACCATCTGGACACTTGCAGTCAATCAGCTTGTCTCCAGTTTCAGCCCCTCTTAGAGGACCTCAGGCGCCTGTGATCTAGAGCCTAAGGAAGCAACCAGAGATGCAGAAGGTTGGACATTCTGGATTGTGATGTCTCTTTGATCTAATATGGCAAACCACCTGCAGTCAAGAGAACAGTGGATATGGTGCATTGAAATGATTTTCCATCATAAAGCTTTTGTGACCTTGGCTTAAGGACAATCCAACTAAAATCTTGAGCAATTCCAGTATTATCATCTTCCCCTGTAATTTCCCGAAGTCTCTCTGAAATCATCTCAGCTATTAGAGTCTGAAGTCCTTGCATCCCAACACTTCTGCATTCATCTCCCTAAGTATAGCAATGTGTTGTGATTGAGAGAAAGATGCCGACAGACACGGTTTAAAGATGGGAGGTTTCTATAATGCCTGAGGATTTGGAAAGCTACAGAGATGGTTACACAAAACAGGAGACTGTGCAGCTTGCTTTCAGATGGATGGACAACCTTAGGTCGTGCAAGTTCCCCAGGAGGTACATTCTGTTGGAATGAACCCATCATTGTCATCTGCAAACTCCTTGCACTTTCCCTCCTCCCGACTTTGGTTATGGGTAAATCTGCTCGTCACATGTAAGTAACAGGGACAAAGCAAACCCAGCTCAGTTCAAAGTGTTTTCCAGGAGAACAGGTAATTATTTTCAGATGTCACGTCTCATAGCCAGCTTTGGCTTCAGCTTGCTGAATCTGTTTCTTCACTACCTTTGTAACTGTCCCCTTTCTTTCTCCCCTCCCTTATGCTCACTGTACTCCAGCCACACTGGCTTCTCCTCTCCGTTCCTTGAATTTGCTAAGTGTGTATCTGCTTGTGTTGCCTCTGCCTGGAATGCTCTGCCACCAGCCTGTCACATGGCTGCCTCCCTCTTGTCCTTCAGATCTCAGCTTGTCAGCTCCTCTGAGAGACCTTCCTCCTTATCTCACCTGTTTATTGCATTTATTGCCCTTCATAGTATTTATCCCATTCTGTAATTATTTTATATATTTATTTTCTTGCTTATTTATTTAATTCTCTTATTCTCTTCCAGTAGTCTATAATTTCCCCAGGCCCAAATACAGTACCTCATATGCAATATACTCCCAATAAATATTTATTGAATAATGAATGGGTGAATCATGACATTGCTCAAAGAGCTGGGCTGTGCACAGACTGCTCTATACTTAGATAACAACAGGCGTATTTCTATTATGAGTCAAAGTATTTTGTATGACAAAGACAAAAATAGAGGAACCTCCAAGGGTTGTGTTTAATTGGAATGTAGATTAGATGGTAAGAAAATATCCATTTTGTATTAAATCATTCGGCTGTTATAAACTTGTTGAAATGCATTTGAAAAATACCATGTTAACTCATAGTAATGTTGTGTCTAAATTTGAGAATCATAGTAAATTATTCATAAAAATGCTTTGTTACATACCTGTATTTAACACTATATAATGTGGATGTAAATTCTTTAGTAACTTACTTGATTAGTTAGCATCTCCTCTTATGCTTTATTGTTATTGTTGCCTTTTAATTTTTATGCCTTAACATTGTGACTCTCTCCACCTTTTCCTATACATTTCTTTGATACTTAAGAAATTGTTTTTTAATTGCACTTATGGAATTTGATGTGTGGCATTTCTTAAATCTTTGTGAATTTATTTAACCTTGCTATATCTTAATCCAGTGATAAAGCGACAGTACCCTATATATATTTATTTTCATGTTAGGAAATAGAATATAATCCATACGACCACACCATGAGTTTATAACTTTTTATTCATTCCTTTTGCTCGTGCTTCTTACTGCCACACCATCTGCCAGTTTATAAATAACTTATAAGCTTCACCAACAAGGATGGAATTGGAACTGCACACTTATATCCACTTCAGGAATGATCAAGAAGAATGAAAATCCTAGATCATTTTTCTCTTTCTTCTTCCTTGGAGCATTTAGGTTAGAAGGAGGTCAGATGCTTTGAGGGTATCAGGTGGGGAAAGGGACTTGGGGGAGGCAGGTTGTGGTGGGAGATCTTTAAGAAAAATTTCCCATCCCCCGGAGCCCACCAGTCCACTGTTTACCCTTATCCCTGACTTCCAGTGAGTTAGTCCCTTCCCAATCCTCCTTATAAATAGCGTGAATCTTTGAGATCCAAGCAAGTTTAAACTTGGAAAACAGAATATTATATCTGAGAAGAAGGCATGAGTAAGAATTATAGAGTGGCCAAACACTTTGAATATTTACTAGGTTTACTGAACCGTGAACTCTATAAATTAACTAAAAATGCAGAAACTTATGGTTTATATTTCCTGTATGAAACACAGGGCTTTATATTTATGTTTTTGAAAGACATTACCTTGTACATAGTTGTCCTTTTATTTTTTTTTAAAGATTTTATTTTTCCTTTTTCTCCCCAAAGCCCCCTGGTGCATAGTTGTGTACTTTTAGTTGTGGGTCCTTCTAGTTGTGGCATGTGGGACGCCACCTCAGCATGGCTTGATGAGCGGTGCCATGTCCGCGCGCAGGATTCAAACTGGCAAAAACCTGGGCTGCTGAAGCGGAGCACGCGAACTTAACCCCTCGGCCACGGGGCCAGCCCCATAGTTGTCTTCTTTTGCCAGCAAATGAGTTATCTGTATGCACACGGTTATGACCCCTAGTTCAGTACGAAGCTCTTCAAAAGGAGAGGCAGTAATAAGTCCTCCCTCCATCTCCCCTACCCCAACAGGCACACATAGTTGTGCATACCTTTCTACACAAATGGTAATAACATACGATACACACTCTTCTGCCCTTTCTTTTTCTCCCTTAAGGGTTTATTTTGGAGATTGGTACGTATCAATATATGAAGAGACTCAACGTGTTTTATACTCACATAGCATTCCATTGTATGTAATGTATGGTACCATCATTGATTTAACCAACCGCCTATGATGGCCATCAGGTAGTTTCAGTCTTTTGTTCTTACAAACAGTGCTGCAGTGGGCCGACTTGTACCGGTATCACTTTGCCGTGTGTGGGTGTCTCTTTAGGATCAATTGTTGAAGGGCCTGGGCACTTGTACTTTTGACAGCTGTCACTAAGTTGTCCTCCATAGAAGCAGCCCCATTGATACTACCGGCAGCAGGGTGGTCAGAATGCCTGTTTCCCCACCCATCTGACAGATAAAAAATGTCCTTGCTCTGGGCCAGCCCAGTGGCGTAGCAGTTAAGTTTACACAGTCCACTTGGGCGGCCCAGGGTTCACAGGTTTGAATCCCAGGCGTGGACCTATGCACTGCTTGTCAAGCCATGCTGTGGTGGCGTCCCACATATAAAGTAAAGGAAGATGGGCACAGATGGTAGCTCAGGGCCAGTCTTCCTCAGCAAAAAGAGGAGGATTGGTGGCTGATGTTAGCTCAGGGCTGATCTTCCTCAAAAAAAAAAAAGTCCTTTCTCAGTGTAGTTTCTCCATGCATGCTTCTCATTGTGAGCACTGTGGGGCATCATTTCATATACCGAAGAGGCATGATATTTCTTTTCCCGAGAACTTTCTGTTTATGACTGTTCCTCATCTTTCCATAGCATTGTTGGTATTTTACCAGTGCTTTGTAGAAGATTATTGTATATTAGTGACATTAGCCCTTTATCTGTGGTAAGAGTTGGCATTTTCTTTTCCCAGTTTATTCTTATAGGATGTGTTGCTATCCGTTAGGACTAGTCCCCACTACTCTTCTGTTTCATAATTTTCCTAACCCTTCTTTTTTTCTTCCATATGAACTTGAATTTGAATTTATGAAGAATTAAAAGCTCTATGGTCATCATCATGGCCTTTATTTTAAATTTTTCCATAATGCCTCTTCTCTTTCTCATTATTGTGATTAATAGACTTTAAGTAGACTTTACTGGCATAATCTGACACCAGAACCTTGTCATCAACCCCCGGCTTTTCCTGCTTGATAAAGAATTGTGTGTTAGTCTTTGTACTTTCAGAGAAGAGGGCACAGAGGAAAGGATGGAGAAAGACCCCAAGATTGCTCTCCTCTAGGAATGATTCCATATGTTTTCTATTCTAGTAAGCAATGGTTGGCATAAATAAAGTTCCCTTTAAGTACCCAAAATATTTTGAGTCCTACATATTAGTTCTTTCTAATACTATATATAGTACAGAGATTTTCTTTTTGTCAAAAAAAATATTAGTCACTGTTTTCAGTAAAAATTTAATTATCTTACTTTCAGGGTGGCCTGTGGTGTTTTGGAGGAAATGGACTTCCTTACGCTGAAAGCTTTGGAGAAGTTCCTTCAGCTACAGTGGAAATGTTCTGTTTAGAAGCTTTAATAAAACATTCTGAGGTAACTTACATTTTCAAAATGTGGTTTGCTTTTTACGATCACATTGAAAAAATTACACATATTGGTTCATTCAAGGGAAATAATCCTCACTTTTTATAAAAGAAAACCTTTTTGCTTATTTTTAAATTTCTGCTTTTTTCCACATTTCCTTGTTAGAATTGATAATCATGATTTAGCACCAATACATGAATTTCATTTTTGCTAAATATTTCTAAAAATGGATTTAATTTTATTTTCATGTAAAGAAAACTACCCGTTGTATTAATATGGCATTTACCTTTGAGTTTTGCTGTCTTTCATTGCCTCTCTCAGATCCCTTGTACAAGTAATATTATCAGGTAGCTAAGTTCCATTGAAACATCTGCCAAAGATGGGCTGGCCTGGTGGCACAGTGGTTAAGTTCGCACACTCCGCTTCAGCAGCCCGGGGTTCCCTGGTTCAGATCCCGGGTGTGGACATGGCACCACTTGGCAAGCCACGCTGTGGTAGGCATCCCACATATAAAGTGGAGGAAGAGGGGCACGGATGTTAGCTCAGGGCCAGTCTTCCTCAGCAGCAAAGAGGAGGATTGGCAGCAGATGTTAGCTCAGGGCTCATCTTCCTCAAAAACAAACAAACAAACAAAAAGCCCACAAAGATGTGGCAAGATAGAAAAAAAAGAAATATTTGGATGACCATACTCTTGAATTTTAATTATAGCCTATATCAGTGGTTTTTAAACTTTTTGGCATTATGGCAAGTTTTCTGTCATGATCATAGTTTGATTTTAAAAAGAAAGAAGCACAGACTTTGCGGTGCTCAAACATTAGTGCCTAGAAATCACCCAGGAAGCGGGTTAAAAATGCCCATCTCCTCTCTTCTCCAGCAGTTTTAATTTAGTAGATGTGGGTGGAGTCGAGGAATTTGCGTTTGTAACAGGCATCCCTGGTGAGGCAGCTGCACGTGCCTCAGCCCTCGTCATGAGAAACCCCATCCTGGGGATTCTAAACTCTCCACGTTTAGATTTGGGAACCACCAGTCATAGCGCAGAAGCATGGTGCTTTCTCGTCGTCTGTGGCTCCCACTGGTGGGATTAGGACTCGAGCGCGGAGCAGAGGCAGGAGAGTCCTACTGCAAAGGGGATGAGGGGAAACCAGCTGGAGTGCTCGTGACTTGGGACTGGTGACTGAAGCAGGAGATGCATCTTCAGTAGGAAGCACAGTGCATGAATGTAACAGTTACCGTTCCAGAAACCTCTCAAGTTATTAATATCTCACTTGGTATCTGTCTAAAAAGCCTACTTTTAAATGCAGTTAATGTGACAAAATTTAATGGAAATTTACAGAATAAAACGTGTTGCATATACATGACGTGGTGTCATGTCAGTGAGGAAAACTAATGATGGGAAGAGGCGAGGCCTGCCTGTGACCTTGGCAGACTGATGACTTGGTCAGTTCTGTCACCTTACCTTAATATACATATTTCCTTTGACTTTCTTTGATCTCTTTTCTCCATTAAAAATTCACATCCCTTTTTCTTACTTTTTTATTTTTACATGATCTTTCTCTTTAAAAAATGTTCCAACTCCTGAGTTTCAGGCCAGCCCCATGGCTGTGGGCTGTGTGGGTTAGTGTGTGGGGCCTCAGATGTGGCTTATCTCCCTCTGGGCATCTTGTATGCAGAAGCAGAAGCTGCTGTTTGCACAGACGATTATTTCCTGTTATCAGGTGGCAGGTTTCTCAAAGCTAGAGAACCATGTTAAGGCAGTTTCAAGCCAATCAAAGTATCACTATAAGTTGAAACAGTTCTGTGATAATGACATTGTCAGGTTCCATCCAACCAAGAGCTAGGCGGAACAACTTTAAAAAAAATAAAGATTGCAGAAGTCTTAGTGAGCTATGCCTTAATTTTCTCAGTGATTTTGAAGCATTCCCATGTCGATGGAGATTTGTATATTAATTGAGCTGAAGCGGGAGTCCTGTGTGGTCTCTGTCCTTGAGCAGGAGCCACCGGGCTGCCCCATCAGCATGCTGTCACCTGGTTAGTAAATTTATGCAGTATAAAGTGAGCTGTCATTAATTTATTGTTAGATGCCTACACACTGTGATCAAATTGAAGCAAACGGAGGCTTGCAGCTACTTCAGAGGCTGTACCGACTTCACAAGGACTGCCCTAAAATACAGAGAAACATAATGCGCATCATTGGAAATATGGCCTTGAATGAGCATCTTCATTCTCCTATCGTTCGCTCAGGTAACAGCTTTCTATACTGAGGATTTGGGATCCAGTCCTTTGTTCTCTCACCTCCACCCGTCATGATACGTTCATCGTTCAGTAGACTTAAACTTTGCTTAGCGTTAGTTATGGGTCCTTAGAGCATGTTATTTTAATAGGGACAAGGAATTGCTTAAGGCATATGGGTAGTTCACACCTAAGGTAATCAGTGTGTGGACAGTCACAGGAACGCAGTTTGTGCCGTGACGACCTTCTAATTGTTTATATCACCTTCAATATGATTTTGTTAACTAAGAGGCATGGTGATGCTGAAAAGAGGACCATTGTATAATTAGTGATTTTCCTCCTTGCAACTGATAAGCCATCTGTAGGGAGATGATTAAGACCATGCACGTACCCTGCTCCTCATCTGCTGAAAGTTCCTGCCTGATTCACTCTTTACAGTGATGGTTGCAAGATGTTGGTTTGCCATCTGCAGCTTGCCCTCCCTGCTTGCATTTCAGCATTTGACATTTTACTGTAAGCAAAGCCCGCCCTTCTCTCTCCTGCCCTCCTTCCTTCCTGCTCTCTTCTTCCGTCCTTTCTTCTTCTCTCCCTTTCTCTCTCCCTCTCTCTCTTTTCCTATCAGCATGGGCACATGGATTCCTGTTTTTAATGGTTTATAATTTGTTAGTGTATTTAATAATTTGATGCCATATTGTCCCAGCTTTGGCTAGTGGGAGTGTGACAGACTGGCTCCTATGTCCTTGTGATTTGCTCACGTCATTTTGGGGGGCATTCCTTGCATTCTGGTATAACAAGATGTTCCAGGCTCGTTTCTCTAAGGAACCCTATTTCTTTTTAGTGGGGAATGATTATTAGAGACTAAGATCTGGGTGCTAGGCGTGCTTATTGCTTCTGGGGTGTCTTTGCTTCTTGGCTCTTTTGATGAAAAAAGATAGTAATATATACAAATATATATACACATACATTCAAGTAAATGTACATACATATGTGCACATATACATGAATATGTTCATACATATACATGTATTAGAAGCTATGACTTTACACTTGAGTGTCTTTTGAGTGGCAGAAGTTTTTAATTTTAATGAAGTTTAGTTCAGAGATCAGCAGACTTTTTCTGTAAAGGACCAGGTTGTAAATATGTTAGGATTTGCAGGCTAAATATAACCTATGTTACATATTCTTCTATTGTTTTAAATAATTATTTGAAAATATAAAAACTATTCTACTCTTTATTATTTCCTTCCTCCTACTTACTGTGGGTTTTATTTCTTCCTCTTTTTATAGCTTCTTAAGGTGGAAACTTAGATTGCTGATTTTACGCTTTCTTCGTTTCAGTTATCTATTGCTGTGTATTAAGCACCCTGAAACTCATCAGTTAAGACAGCAGTCATCTGTTTTGCTCATGAATCTGAAATTGGGCTAGCATCAGTAGGGAAGGCTTATGTCTGTTCTATCCAGCAGCAGCTGGGGCAGCTCAGCTGTTGGGTAGAGGATAAATTTTCAAGTTTGCTTGCTCACATGGCTTGTAAATTGGCGCTGGCTATCAGCTGGGAGCTCAGTGGGGTGGGAAGCGGGGTGCCAGGGGTGGAGGGACTGAGGGCATTGCCTCCTTTCTATGCCCCTCTCTGTGCTGCTTGGGCTTCCTTAAAGCCTGATGGCTGGGTTCCAAGGGCAAAGAGAGCCTAGTTTAAGCTCCTTTGGTTTTTATAATCACGCAATGGAAGTAATTTATTCAAGAGGACTTCTGCATGAGAATAGTGTCAAAGAATTCGAAGACATGTTTTAAAATCACAACAATGGTTTTCTAATATAGGTATCTAAAGCTGTAAATTTCTGCTACACTACTTTAGATGCATCCCTCAAATTTTGGATATATTCTATTTTCATCATTATTCAGTTTGAAATATTTTCTAATTTCCTTTGTGACTTCTTCTTTGTCTCATGGATTACTTAAAAGCGTGCTGCGTAATTTACAAATATTAGGGGTTTTCTAGATGTCATATGTCTGATTCTAATTTAATACTCCATGCATTCAGAGAACATACTCTATAAGTTTTTAGTCTTCGGAAATTTGTTGAGACTTATTTGATGCTCTAGTTTATGGTCTATGTTGGTGAATGTTCTATGTGCACTTGGAAGGAATGAGTGTTCCATAGTTGTTGGGTGAAGTATTCTATATATAACAATTAAACCAAATTGATTGATAGTATTGCTCAAATCTTCTCTAGGTCTTTACTGAGTTTTGCCTCGTTCTATGAATTACTGAGATATGTTAAATTCTTCGACTGTGATTGTGGATTTGTCTGTTTTCCCTTTGGTTCTGTCAGATTTTTCTTCCTGGTGAATTGTTCTTTTCTTTCTTTCTTTCTTTCCTTTTTTTTTTTTTTGCTGAGGAAGATTTGCCCTGAGCTAACATCCACTGCCAATCTTTCTCTTTTTGTATGTGAGTTGCTGCCACAGCATGGCTACTGACAGACGAGTGGTGTAGGTCTGCGCCTGGGAACCAAACCCAGGCCACCAAAGTGGAGCGTGCTGATCTTAGCCACTAGGCCCCTGGGGCTGGCCTTTTGTTCATTTTTTATTATTAAGTAATGCCTTGATCACTGGTAATACTCCTTTTCTTTAAGTGTGCTTTGTCTGGTATTGAAATAGCCACAGTGACTCTTTTTCTGACTCTTGCTGTTTGCATTGTATATCTTTTCTTTTTCCCTTCTTTTGCTGTCATTCTCTGTGACTTTAAAAATAAGTACATCTTTTACAGACACCATATAGTTGCATCTTTTAAAAAAAAATCCAATTTGATAACCCCTGTTAACTGGAGTGTTTTGTCTCATTGCCTCTCACGTGGTTATTGACATTGTTGGATTGTGGCTGTTGTCTTTGCTTGCTTTCTGTTTGTCCCCTATTGTTTGTCTCCTTTTTTCTCCTCTCCTGCCTTTTTTGGGGTGATTTGAGTATTTTTTACATTCCATTCTTTCTCTTCTTTTAGCTTTTTATAGACTATTTTTGTGTATTTTTTAATGCTTGTATCCTTGACTTATCACAATCTATCTTGAATGAATGCTCTACCTCATATATGGTGTGAGATCCGTACAACAGTATGACTCAGCTTACACCCCTGCATCCTTTGTGGTATTGTCATAATATATTTTGAAATACTCCTACATGGAATAGACTTTGTGATACAGCATTGTTATTTTTGTTTTAACAGTCAAGTGATATTTAAAGAATATAAGAAAAAAGAAAGTCTTTTACATTTATATACATATTTATAATATCCAGTGCTCTTCCTTCATTTCTGTATATCTGAATTCACCTCTGATAGCTTTCCCTTCAGCCTGAGGAGCTTCTGAGTATTTCTTGTATTTTGGGTCTGCTGGCAGCAAATTCCCTCACCTCTCATTTTCTGAAAGTGCCTTTACTGTACTTTCATTTTGTATCCAGGGAAAGCTATTTTCTGGGGATAAAGAATTCTTTGTTGACAATGTGTGATGTTTTCTGTCAGCACTTTCCACGTGTCCTCCCACCCTCTCCCAGCATCTGTGGTCTGGTAAGTCTCTTCTTCCCACTTTTGTTCTCTTTTATGTAATTTGTCTTTTTTCCTCTGGCTGCTTTTAAGATTTTTATGTTTGGTGTTCGGCAGTTTGGCAGTGAGGTGCCTGGGTGTCTTTTTTTGTATTTGTCCTGCTCAGGGTCCACTGAGCTGGCTGAATCTGTAGGTTGATGGGGTTTTTTTTTTTTTTATCACTTTTGGAACCTTTCCAGCCAGTAATATCTTCAAATATGTTTTCTGTCCCTTTATCTCTCTTCTCTCCTTTTGGGACTTCAATTATGTATATTAGATCTCTTGATACTCTTCCCCGGGTCATTGAGACTGCTTATTTCTTTTCAAAATTTTTTTCTTCACTTTGGATGATGTCTGTTGACCTATTTTCAAGTTCATTAATGGGATAGAGACTAAAGGATTCAAAGCAGAACAGAGACTTGATCAAGTCAATGTTTTATTAAAAAAGAAAAAATCACCCTTCCCCTAATTGAAACCTATCTCTACGCCAAGTCTTCAGTCCTCCTGGGTGATAGCCCACTGAACACCTTGGCCTCTCACCTCTTTGACCTTCTCATCTTCGTTGACTTCCCTCTCTGTTCCTGAGTTGCCTAATTCTCCACCCTGATGCCATACCTTGGGCTTAGTCATTGCCCGAAACACTTCACCTAAAAATCAGTAATTCACCTGCCTGAGCACATCCTCCTCTCGTTCAGCTTGTTTTTACGCCTGCTCCCACAAGGACTGGTTTTCTTCTCTACTGGAATCTTCTATCTGCTGACCCTTCATTCTCTCTCAATTCCTCATTCGTCTTTATTCTTCACGTCCCTCCTGATTTAGCATATGTTCGATGGTCCGTCATTTCAGTAACGTTCTTGCTGGGGCCCTAGAACTCCCTTCCCCTCTCTCCTTTTAGCACACCCTTGTCAAGACCCCAACACTAGAGGAAACCTACTCTCTGCTTCTTCTGTGGGTGAGAATAGAGTCACTGCAGATTGGGTGTCACTCTGCTTATGAGATCAGCAAATTAAAGGATTACTCACAATCAGCATGCCTTCACATTCTCAGCAGGGACGATTTTAAACCCTCTCCACATTCCTCACACCTTCCACATAGTCCCTCCCTCTCAGCAGATGACTCCTCCAGTGAGACGACTAAAACCCTAGAAGGAATTTTCCTTAATTTCTCACTACCAGAAAACAAACCTGTCCTCTTCTTTTCTCCTCTTGATCACAGGAAAAGGGACACCTCCTATGAGACCTCCAACTATACCTGGGTCCTGTCTGTTTTCACTGTCTGAGGAATTGCCACTGTTTTCTTGTCTACGTGGTCAGCTACTCTCCCTCAGCTGGGCCCTTCTGATCAACACAAATAGGGGAAGATAGGAAAAACGAAAACCTAAAGTCCTGACTCCACATCCCCCCCCCAATTTCTACCCTCTCTTTCTCTGCTCCTTTTATAGCTAAACTGTTGAAAGAGTTATTTATGCTTTCTTTTTGCTGAACTCCCATTAATTCTCAATACTCCAATTTGAATTCTGCTCGCTTACTTTGTTTTATTTTTTTCCTTAGGCATTCTGGATCCTTACCTGCATATATATATATATACACACACACACACACACACACACACACACACACATATACATAAGGTATAGATACCAATCTTAATAGCATCATGTCTGTAACTTTTTGCTATTCAGATTTACAAAAGCTAAAATGATACTGATAATAGCTACTGTTGGTGCAGGTGTGTGAAAACTGGCCCTCTGAATCACTCTTGGTGCAGGTGTGTGAATACCGGCCCTCTCATGCACTGTTGCGGGGAATGTAGACTGAGTGAGTGTTTTCATGGGCACTCAGTAGTATCTATTAAAAGAATGTATATACCATTTGACCTAGTGTTAATACTCTGGGAATCTCTTCTACCTAAATACTCATGGGTGTTCTTAAAGATTTGTGTATGAAGTGTGTACTGGCACATTGTTTACAGTATGGAAAAACTGGAAACAACCTAAATGTCTGCCAATGGGAATAATGGTTAAATAAAAACAATGGTATACTCAAAGTGTGTAATGCTCTAGTTAAAAAGAATGAAGTTGATGTATATGGAAAGCACTCCAAGACACATTGCTGAAGTAAAAATCAAGTCACAGAACAGTAGGAATGATATGATTCCATTTAGCTAAAAAAAAATCTATGGAGCCACAGGGTGTCTGTATAAATTATAGGCAGATGACAATTTTTTAAAAGGTTTGGAAGAGTGTCCACCAAACTTTTACCTTTGGTTACTTCTGAGGATATAGATGGAACTGAGAAATGATGGGAGTGTTGAAGTGGGCCCTTCACTATTTAATTTATTTATTTGTTTTTACAGTTAACATGTATTCAGATGTTATATAATTTTAAAACACTAAATATTACAGAAAGACACACGTTTTTGAAGGGGCCCTTGATGTTTTGTAAAAGGTGAAGCATCTCATGCGTTGTGAAAATACATTTTCAACTAAAAAAATGCCATAGAAATGGGTTGTGCCATGGTTTCTCTGTGTTTCCTTTCTTGTGACTACATTAAAAATAAACCCATAAAAAAAAATAAAGCCATATTTTTGTACATACCATTAATATACGTGTTTATCTCTATGGGTAGATTTTTAAAACATTCTTATTTTGTTATTATAAAGCATTCTTTAACAAATTTTGAAGAGGAATTTTCTGATTTTACACGTTTGAATGTTGTTAAAGAATTATTGAGCCTGGAACTTGTTTTGTATTGTTAAATACGGGCCTCCTGTCATCACAATGATTCTCGACGCGTTTGCCGTAAAGAGTGGGAGGAGGATGTAGGACAGCTGCTATCTGTTGAGCGCCTGCTGGGCTTGGTAAAAGGCAGTTTTTGTATAAGTTAATTTATTAGAACCTTCCTCCAGCTCAGAGAAGCCAAGGAACTTGACTGAGGTTCCACAGCAAGTAAGTAGGGGACAGAAATTTGAGCCCAAGTTTCAAGGCCCATGTTCTGTTTTATTTTAAATTATTTATATAATACATGAATAGATTCTCATTGTAAATACTTCAGAGAACATAGATACAGCAAAAAAATTAAACACCTTTTTACGGAGCACACCCCAACCCCAACCCTGTCTAAGAGGTAATGACTATTTATTAGTGTGTCTTTCCAGATCTGTGTGTGTAATAAAGTAACACAAGTGTGCGTATAAAGTAATATATTGTTTTAAACAACAAAAAACACAAAAAATAAATGAAATCATACTGCACATAGTATTGCTTTGTCTCCCTTTAAAAAATAGTTTTCCCTTTTGAACCCCAGGTTTTACAAGACTTTTTTCTATCAGCAAGCTCATTTTTAAGAAATAATTTCCTCATGTATATTAAAGTCTGCTAATATGACTGCCAATCACGATGAAATAACTAGTGTTAACTCACTGAGTTTAGTAATTCTTGCTAAAAGCAAAATATCATGATATTTTCTTACCATTTATGACCTCATCTCTAGTAATGGCAACTTTTGTTAGATTTTCTAAATAAAGAAAATGGCTCTTGAACCCCTCCTACTTCTTTGAGACTCCTAAGGGGTACCTGGCTGGGGACCTCGTGGCCTTGTGCCCTAGGACCCAGAGGACCTTAGGGAGGAGCAGACTTGGAGTGGGTGGGCTTTTCCGCGTGGACAGAGGCCGAGGTTTGTCTTTCTCCTGTCGTTTTCCATCTGAAACCGCTCACCCGTCTGAGGCAGGGTAGAGTCGGTACTCAGGGGTCTGTTCTTCTCACCAGGCTGGGTCTCCCTGCTGGCCGAAGCTATGAAGTCTCCCCACATCATGGAGGCCTCACACGCCGCCAGGAGCCTGGCTAATCTAGACCGAGACACCGTGCGAGAGAAATACCAGGACGGCGTGTACGTGCTCCACCCCCAGTACCGCACGAGGTGAGGACAGGATGGGCGCTTTGTTCCCTGTGGGGACGGAAAGCCTAGAGGGCTTAACATTTCCCTTGATTTCTGCATAATTTAGATAAGTTAAATACCTTACAAATAAGTCAAATACCTAGTTACTGAAACAATTTGTCCCTAATAACCTCAGAAGAATTGTAGGCTGTCCTGAAAGTATGGAACTACCTGGATTATCGGGGTCATTTTTCACCAAGGCTCGCCTTCAGCAAGGTTGCATTCAGCTTTTACCCCGTCCGTGTCCCACGTGAACTTGGTAATGCATACTTCTTCACTACACTTTTGAGGTGGATCTGAGCTGATGCTGATTGGGATTGTAGAGGTCGTTCTGGATGGGAAGGCGAGAGGACATTGTCATATGCAGGCACCCAACTGGCCTGGGCCTACAGCTGAAGGGGCTGGAGCAAGTTTATGCCAGGGGTAAATCGCGCACTTATTTGACTCGTGCCCCTTCTTCAGGTTATTTCTGGTCAGTATTTCCAGTTGTATCATTGCTGAGACAATAAATATAGAAAGGACCGCATGAAAAAATGACAGATTTCTTGGATTTTTCTCAGGCACTTTAAAACAATAACTCAGAAAATAGCAAACACTTTTTTAAATTTGAAAAATGGATTGTGTGGTTAATTCCAACTTGTAAATAAAATAATATACTAATGCACTTTATATGTGTTACATAATTGTGTGTGTACTATAAATAGCTTGCAAATAATATACTATCTACAATTTTTTAAAATGTCAGATCCAAAGAAAGAATATGCTACTTTAAAATCTCATTTGCCTTATTTCTTATAAACATTATTTTTCTTGATCAATTTTAAAAAATCTCATTCATGCATACTGACTTTGAAACTCACGTTCTTATTTAATTTCTTAAACACTTCTGTGGATTTGTGGAATGTTCTCATGGAATTTCCTAGAGGGTGATCTCTGATGTCTGTCACTTCATTGATCACTAAACTCATTACGGTTGATTTTGGTCGGTCCACCCGGCTAGATATGTCTCCATTTTTACAGAGAGAGCAGTGGGCACGCTCGTAGGTGTCTTTGCGAAACTCCTTATGGGGTTCCTCAGCACACCTGCCCTTAGAAAGCGTGCCTTCATTTTTATCTCATGTCGTGTAAACCTGCTAAGCACCATCCACAGAGAGTGCTGTGTGGATTCTTACCAAAGCAATAATGCGTTTATTCTGCTTCTTTTAAAACTCTCTCCCCTGTCAGTCAGCCCATTAAAGCAGATGTCCTTTTTATTCATGGCCTGATGGGAGCAGCGTTCAAAACATGGCGCCAGCAGGACGCTGAGCATCAGGGTCCAACTGACGAGGCTTCAGAGGACGAAGCCAGGCATACGACATGTTGGCCCAAGGTAAGGGAGCGGCTGGCTCTGGCAGGCCACCCGTATCACCACACGCTGCGGCGCCTCTGGCCGTGCGAGCCTCATTGCGGCTTGCTTATTCTCCTTTTGCTGGGATTTTCTTCTGTCCATTAGGGACACTTGTAGAGTGCTACATGAACAGCTGGGCTAGACCCCCGCGTTGTGTAATTTCTGGTTTGGGTGCAGTCTGTGGTTCTAAAAGAATATTCCATTAAGTAAAAAACAGGGGCAGGGACCATTATTAGTTCATTCCCATTAGAAATATAATATAGCAAATAATCTATTCATAAGAGTTGGCTAGTTCTATGATTTTAATAATTATAAAAATAGAAAGATTTTGAAGAAGTAATTCCACTTTGGATTTCCTTGATATTTCTTCCAAAGAGCCTTAATTCTGGAAGAATTCATTGAATGGAATTTGTCTAGAGCTCAGTGAAAATCGATGTGGCATATCTGTGTACTTTCCAGGGCTTTGCCTGCTCTTGCTTGTTCACCTTCACAAAGGCTTGTCAAGCAGAAAGATTGGTTTGCACTTTGTGGTGACACTGCAGTATGGAGATGACGATGGACCCTGGGTCCTCAGGGACAGAGCTGTGACGGCCATTAGTATCTCTGAGTTCTCAGGGCGAATCTCTAACCATCAGACTATACTTTCTGTCCTGAGATCTTAACTTTCTATTAAATGCTTTCAAAAGCCAATTTGATCTAGACTGCAAATCAGGCCTTGCTTGTGGCTATAGCAGTTTAAAATCGAGAATATTCTCTTGAAACCTACATTAGCCTCATGCTATAAATATTGATACCATCTTGTGATCAGGATATAAAAAGATAAAATGCTGGAATTATTTTTCTAGACACCTTTAAACTTTATTCCAAAGTGATCTTTAACTAGTTGTAAATATTGCAAGAGACCTTTAGTTAGGAATTTCAATTACTAGGAAATAACTGGGGCAGTGGACAGTCATGTGTGTTCCTTTGTACCTGGTATTTTACACAGACGTGGTTAGCGAGAGACTGTCCTGCTCTCCGAATTATATCTGTGGAGTATGACACCAGCCTCAGCGACTGGAGAGCGAGGTGCCCGATGGAAAGGTAACAGACGGGCAGCTTTGGACTGGGAGGAGGGGCAAGGGTCCAGGCCGTAAGTGGACCCGCTGCAATGGAGGGGAGTTTTATCTTTTGATGCCACAGACAGGATTTTCGTATGAAAAACTAACCTAACCATGTTTTTCTTCCTTCTAGAAGGAGTTAGCGATAAATTAACAAGGAAATAGGATAAGACTCAGATACAGTGTTGGTGTCAGGCTGCTAACGTGGTTCACTTACAACTATTCTAATAGTGAGGGCCATGGATTCTATAGCAGTCCTCTTCACTCCTGGACGTAAACATGAGGCTTTTTGCTTTTCTTTTCACAAGCATACTGGCTAAATGAAGCAAAGAAAAAGATGCTGAGCAATGTGGGCTCCCTACATCATTTCTGTCACATGTGCCAATTGTACCTAGAGGAAGGAACGTGGGACTTCTGGGCTCCAGGACCCAGACTGTAGCCAATTCCACCTTTGACTCACTGTGCAATATTAGATGTCATTTAACTCATCTGGGAAGCTTGGTCTACAGATAGAGAGAGTTGGTCTGAATGAGTTTTCTCTCTGAACGGCCCCCATGTAGCTGCCAGAGGAAGGGGGCTGAGGGCCAGTGGGCAGGACCCAGGGCTCCTTCCCCATGTCACCCAGAGAAGCTCTGACAAACTTTTATTTCGAAGAAAGGATTCTATGTTTGAAACTATAAACAGTTTGAAACTACCGGACCAGATAGGTTTGAAGTTCCCTTTTAGTTTGAAAATTACTTACTTTGAATTCTCTGATTTTGATGGTTTTCTAGTATTTCTAAATAAGAAACCAAAATGATGAAAGCTTAACGTTTTCAGCATAAATACAAGTAGAACTAAATAGCAATGACAGCTGACTTCAGATAGGCGAACTCACAAGAGACAACGTGATCTTATTGTCAGGCCACCTCATGAGAAAGGACATGCGTCCTAAGTGTGTGTGTGGGGGGCGGTTGGTGTGAGACCCCAGTGTGGCCTGTAAAAATTGCCATACACATAGTAGATGCTCAAACAGTGCTTGTTCAGTAAATGAACGGCTCGTTCTGGGCTTAGATCGTCCCAGTTATGCCAGTGTGACTAAGTTAGAAATGGTGAAGGAGCAGTTGCAGAAATCGAGCAGAGAGGATAGGGCTATTCCTGACTCCAAACTGTAGCATGTGGCATTGGTCCAATAAACAAAAGTCTTGCCTTAAAAAGTTGGATAGCAAAATGTCGGCGGGGCAGGGGGGACCGGTGGGATTGGTCGCCTCCTGTCACGCTTGCTGTTTTCATTTTGTTCAGAAAGTCCATTGCATTCAGGAGCAACGAACTTCTTAGGAAGCTCAGAGCTGCTGGTGTTGGGGACAGGCCGTTGATTTGGGTGTCACATAGCATGGGAGGTGAGTGTGTTTCACTTTTGCCACGCGAGCATTGGGAGGTTGTCAGCCATCGGGGCTCACCGAAGTTACTGTAGCTGTCTGTGTTACTTAATAGTGGCCCTTTTCCCCCCTAAATTAATGTTTTTGGCTATGGCTAGGAGTTCTAAAATCACTACTCTCCTTCCATGATATTTGTTTTTCTAGAGGGGACAGCTAGTAACAAACCATATAAAAGGAATATGCGTTTGTCAGCTTAATGCTTTCACGTAGCAATAATGAATAAACGTCAGAAGCAGTCAGTGGCTTATAGAAGCCTGACTTAACTATCCCTCAGCATCCCGGCTGGTCCCTGGACTCCTCATTGCAGAGTCCACTATTGCTGCCACAGCCCAGCCCGCTCCTGCCTGCTCACCCTTTGCCCTGAGCCTGCTGACGTGGAGGTGTGATCACAGCTGTCCACTCTGGGGGTCCCAGTGCTGGCTTGCTAAGCCACATGGCCTGCTCCTCCTGGCCCACTCCCCAGTCCACTTCTAAATTTTCACCATCCACCTTGCAGAGGGCCTTCCTGCAGGCCCTGGCCTAGTTTATCTGATGAAATGCTCAAAGTTGCTGCCTCTGAGTCAGGGATTCCTGCCGAGAGAAAGGTGGATGGAGTCCTTTGTGTCCTCCAAGATCCACTGTCACCATCTGCCTGACCTTTGTGTTTCACTGTCGGCTCTAAGCCCAGGCTGGGGAGACAGAAGGTGCCTTCCTAGCTGCATTTTCCCATGGCAGCTTTGTTTTCCATGGTGGATAAGCTTTATGGTACTATGTGTTTTCTGAATATTTCTGTCGTAGCGGTGTGGTCATTATTGGGCTGCTGTGGGCAGGCTGGGGAGACTGGCATGTTCATTTCATTGATGGACACCCAACACAGCAATGCTTAACATTCCTTCTATGGGACAGTGCCTTCTGTGATATAAGATCTGCCTTACAAACGGGTTTCTAGAATCTTAACCTGTTTGTAGGCTTGTGCTATATATCCTAGAGGACCAAGAGTATTACCCTGTGAGTATTTTAAGGCCCTGTTTATTGGACTACAGACAATTATTGTTTAAACTTTTTTTAAAGAAAGCATCTCTTTATGTATTTCTTTTGCCTTTTTAAAAAAAATAATGGAGGGAAAGAAAGTAACTTATGCATTGTTTTTCTTTCTTCTTTATGGCTAGGTCTTCTTGTCAAAAAGATGCTGTTGGAGGCCTCTAAGAAGCCAGAAATGAATACTGTTATAAACAATACTAGAGGAATCGTTTTTTATAGCGTCCCTCATCATGGGTCCCATCTGGCTGAGTACTCTGTTAATATTCGCTATCTTCTCTTTCCCTCACTGGAAGTCAAAGAACTCAGCAAGGGTAATACTTCCTGCTGTGAAGGGAATTTGGGTTGTATTAACATCAGTTATACAGGAGAAGGAGAAAACTTTCCTAACTTGACTATATTATCTCATTTTATTATTTGTATGTGAATTGTGTTTAGACCATCACGGAAAATTTTTAGTTTGGGCTTAATTTTTCTTTGCTATCCTCCCTTTTTGTTGTTGTTGTTTTTTTTTTTTTTTTGAGAAGTCTCATGTGTACATTATAATTTGACTTTTGCTGGGAGGCCAGAGTTGTATGCACTGTTTCTGCTGCTGCTGTCAGGTTCCCTGGGGCTGCAGGCTCAGCTGCTGTGGCCAGGGGGCTGGGATCATGGACATGGCCTCACTGTTCCTGCGTTCCGCCTCCTGTGTCTTCCCGTCCACCCACCTTCAGATGCGCAGACGTATGATCTCTCCAGCATCCTAGCGTATTGGGCTGAGGAACATTTGTTGAGTTACGGATGTTTTACTGGTTGTAGATTGAAGGGGAAAGACAAAGCGAGCACCTCATGCTGCCCTGATGCTGAGGTCACTCTCCCCTTTTTTGTTCTTAAGCCATTGTTTGCTCAAATATGACAATTTTAATACTGTCTTAAATATTAAAAACTTTTTAAGTTATATAATGTTTTGCTTTAAGTATTAGTTTAAGTATTATTCCAAAATAGCAATGAACTGCTTTTTTTCATGAGTTTGGAAAATCAACTCTTAAAATATACACGAGCTTTCAAGATTTTCATCATATGAATTATAAAGCACTGTATTTGGATTAACAAGCAGCTGCTCTCTCCCAGGAACACCTATTAATCGGAGTGGGCCCCGGCGTAAGCCTGAACGTGCCGGTTGTCTTTTTGCTTGTTTTCTCTTTGTTCTTCTTTATGGAGAGTTTCTTGACTTTATTTTCTAAAGTTTCTGTTGAATTTTATTTTTTTGCAGTCAAATTATATTTTCCACGAGCTGTTTCTTGTTCTCTGATCTATTGTGTTTTGAAATCAGTCTAAAGACACTAATTGGAGGTGGTTCTTTCTGTTTCTTCATTGAGCTTCTTCTCTCCTTGGGTTTTCTGTTTGCTCGCCAGCTCTGTCTCTCTGAGGTTGTGGGCTTTCTGCTGAGGTCTGGTGCTTCGTGATTGCCCTTCATATTTGAGGCCAGGGGCCCGGAAGGGACAGGCTCTTTGCGGTTAGAGAGGCTTTGTTGATGGAGGCTGCGCTTTGGGGTAGGGGTGCCGGCCAGCACACTGGGGACCCCTGAGTCCCACACATCATATTGCCCTGGGATGCAGCCTCCTGTCAGCCAGTAACGTGAGAAACGTGTCCCTCGGACGCTGGCCTCTCAGTCTGGTTGGTTCTAGCCCTTTACTCTCATCTTAATAGCATCTTAGGAAGGAGAGGAAATAACCCAGCCACCATCTGGAATCAGAACCTTACTTTCCCCCCTAAATTTGGAAGGTTAATGCATTTTATTCTGATTCAGGTAAACAGAACTTGTCATGATCTTGTTCTCTATAATTTTACAGATTCTCCTGCACTTAAAACACTACAGGATGACTTTCTGGAGTTTGCTAAAGACAAAAACTTCCAGGTGCTGAATTTTGTAGAAACACTGCCCACCTACATTGGCAGCATGATCAAACTCCACGTGGTGCCCGTGGAATCAGCAGGTACTCACTCATTCGAAATTGGTTGGCCATTAGAGGCCTAGTTGGTGGTACTGAACATTTAATCATAAACGTCAACTTGTGTATTCAGTTTCTCACTTTTAGCAGACAGTTTTATGAAGATCTAGATTCGAATTCTATTCTTTTCAGCCATAGATTAAAATTTCCCTGCCAACATATAACCTTGGCATTATCCCCCGCTTCATTTAACTGACTAGATGGCAAAGGTTTATTGGGTAAGTGTGAGTCAGCCATCAGCAGTGACTCTGGCGTTAAGAATATGAAGCCCTCTGTCAGCTGGATTGAAAGGGGCGTTTCACTTAATGGATTTACAGCTTCGGGCAGAATCCTGAAAAAATCAACTAAAGGCGTGGAAGCTTTAGCAAACAAATGGAAGATACGTGGGGAGTATTCACACAACAAAGTCCAGTGGAAAAGGCTTGTGGAAAGTAAATTTCTTCGTCATCCTGGGGTTGAGAAAAATGCCCAATCCCTGCTATAGGGTATTGTAATGTATTCCAGGCTCTTGGAGGGCAGGGCCCAAATCCTGCTTCTCCTTAGAGCCTCCTCTATTACTCTGCACACAGTAGATAACCCATGCATTTCACTCCCTGAAATGCTTTTCCTCACTGCCTGACTGCTCCGCTTGCTTTTCTGATCCCCTCTGAGGCTGGGTTAGGTGTGTCCTGTTGGCACTCGGCCATATGAGAGCTCCTTGCAGCCAGGGGCAGTGTGTATCTGGGGGGCCTGCTGGATGGTTCTTCCGTCTGTCTAACAAGTTTTGTCCTAACTTCGTTATGCGTTATCTAAGTAAAAGGAGAAAGGCTTCCCACTCTGTAGTGGAGCCCAAAGAGGCTTCCCCTCAAAGGAATGTGCCGCACAGGGAGGAGTCAGTGTTCAGTCGAAGAACTGAAGAGTTCAAAGAACAGCTGCCAGGTGGTTTGTATTTGTATTTGTTTAAAAGGGACTTTGGAAGCTGGGGGCAAAAGCAGAGTCCATATTGTGGACGAGCTGCTTGTGGTGGCGAAGCCTTGTCCTACTCGGTCTGCCCTTCTGCCGTGCCGCCAGGAGCCTTGCCTTCCTCCCTAACCGCCACTGCCTCCCTCCCCGAGCCGGCCTCACCAGCATCTCTTGTCGCTTCTGTCTCAGGGGACTTTGTTAGACTCAAACATCAGAAACGCTTCCAAATCTCTCAAGCATCGTCACCCTCCCCCAGGGGAGTGACCCTGGGCTTTGGGTGTGGAATGGCTCCCACGTGAGATGTTCCTGTTCTTTTCATCGTGAAGTGTCGTAACAAACTCTAGAGAAAGAAGTCGTTACAAGCAGCGTGGAGTAACCACCTGCGAGTGTGTAAAGGCTTGGAAGACGACAGTGCTCAGGCTTTACGAATTCACCGTCAAATCAGGCAGTGGCCAGGACACACGCGAAGACTGTATGAAAGGCATAAAAGTGTAATTATATCTACTGGGGATCCGTTCTCGCTCGATTGGTCACATGTAGTTTACCTACAGTCAAACTTCAGGTCCCTTTATCTCTAAGACTCCCTCATCAGAACCAAATCCACATTTAGAGTTACCCATTTGGCCTCTTTCAATATTGATGGGGGGAAGCTTATATTTTTCCTTAGATTTTATTGACATTTTTGTTTTCTCCAGATTTAGGCATTGGAGATCTAATTCCTGTGGATGTTAACCATTTGAACATTTGTAAGCCAAAGCAAAAGGATGCTTTTTTGTACCAGCGTACCTTACAATTCATCCGTGAAACTTTAGCCAAAGACCTTGAAAACTGACTCTTATCTTCTTCCATTTTTCATATGTGAACACAGTGCAAGAAATTTGGTGTTGTCTTTCTCTTTCAGCTCTAAGCAATCATGCAGACATAGTCACTATGGCATCCACTGTAGTGGTCTGGGGCATCTCGCAGGCAACAGAATATTGTTCTCAGTTCACGCGCTGTAAAGCACAAACGTGGAAGTGGCGATCAGAGAATGAAGGCTAGACTGGATTCTTTTGATTTACAAGCAGTTCCACGTGTGCCAGTTGATGCTTGGCATTGTTGTCCTGGTGACAAGGAGCAAGCTGCTGTGGATGGAGAATGCCTTTTGTTACCTGTGGCTGTTTCCAGCTCGTGCTAGGAGGAGCACCAATGGCTTCTGAAGGGAGAGCCATCACCAATGCCACAAAAACACCGTTTGGAGAGTACCTAGAATGAACTAGAGCATAAAAGACTGCTTTGTTCTGGGTTTCCGTGTGCTGCAAATTTTTTAAAACATGTCAGTGTAAGCCTTTGTCTAACGTGTTAACTTTGTTGGACCTGTTGTCATCCATGGAGCAGTTCCTTGTAAGTTTTTATTTTCGTATTGCTGAGAACAAATATTCCTCTTTTTAAAAAAACTCTCTAGTAATTCTTTCCAGACTGTTGCTACCTGTACGTTTATTTTTTCCCAGATAAAGTAGCTAATCCATTATTGATCAGAGTGTGAAATAAAAGTGTTCTAAGCTATTATATATATTAGCAAATACTTAGTATTGAGATTCTCACATTCTTTTTAACTAATAAAGTATTCCTTTCTTTCCTGCTCATTTGAAATTGGCATTAATTGACCTCCAGCATGTGAGAAACAGGAAATAACATTGATGACTTGCATTTTTTTAATAACAGCATTATTGAGCTATATAAAATTCACCCTTTAACATATACAGTTCCTTGATTTTTAATATATTTACAGAGTTGTGCAACCATCACCACTATCTAATTTCAGAACATTTCATCATCCCAAAAAATAACCCCACACCCATTAGACTTCACTCCTCACCTCCTTTGCCCTCAGCCCCTGGCATACACTAGTCTATTCTGTCTCTGTGGATTTGCCAGTTATAGACATTTCATATAAATGGAATTATACAATACGTGGCCTTCTGTGTCTGGCTTCTTTCTCTTTGCATGATGTTTTCAAGGCTCATCCATGATGTAGCATGTATCAGTACTTCATTCTTTTTTAGGGCCAAATAATATCCCATTGTATGGATATACCGCATTTGCTTATGCATTCATCAGTTGTTGGACATTTAGGTTATTTCCGTTTTTTGGGCTATTGTGAATAATGCTGCTGTGAACATTCATGTACAAGTTTTTGTGTGGACATGTGTTTTCCATCTCTTGGGTATGTACTAGGAATGAAATTGCTGGGTGATGTTAAGCTTCTGTTTACCATTTTGAAGATAATGGACATTTGTAGAATGGGATAGCCAAAGCGAACACCGGAGGACAGCATCTGAAGGTAAACTGGGGTCATCAGTAAACTGTCAACTTCTGATTGTTTAATTATGCAACAACATAACAAGTGACTTAACCACTTGTTTTATTCTGTAGACTCAGCAAATGTGACTTTTAGCACAACAGTAAGTACTAGCTAATAGGATGGCATGGGGAGAAGGGGTAGGTTTGTCTGTTTTCCCTGAACCATGGCAATGCCCATGGTTGAAACAACTCTTCATTAACTTAGAGTAAATGGAATGAAACTCCATTGCTTAAAATCTCAATGTAGCCATCATAGCTGTGCTTTGAAAATCAGGTCTGGGAGAGAGCCAGTGTATTACTAAGTTACTACAATTTTTCAGGCAAGTCACTTAACATTTCTTTTTATTCTCTTTCTGAAATGGATATGATATACACAGACTCACTCCATCAGTTTTGCGAGATTTAAGTCAATATGGTTTTAAAATAATCACCGCCTGAAAAACACTTTAAAAATACAAAGTATGAAAATACATGTATTTGAAGTAGTTTTAAACTTAGACCATCAATAAAATGGTTCTCCTAATTCACTCAGCCTTGTTTAAATATCCTTTCTGGAAAAAAATTTCAAATGAAGCTTCATATTGCCTTTCTTCTCATGTGAAAAGTCACTTTCAATGATCTGGCTTAAGAAGGAAGTAAACATACGTGTTACAGAGCAAGCTACTGAAAGCAAGCTGTAAATAAAACTAGGATGAAAATGAAGTCGTTATCCTTATTTGTAACCCCTTCACTTCACCTCACATTTCCCCAAAACCAGCTAGATTATGTTGTTAACCCTAAAACTCAATGGTACCGAGTCCCCCTTTACTTCTGTTTAATTAAATGTCACCACAGAAAGAGTCGGCCTTACAAAACAGAGGATCTTGAACCTTTCTTGACCCTGCATTGACCATTTACCGAAGGCTACGCCGACAGCCAGAACACAGAGGAGGCAGGTCTCTGCTCAGTCAGCCTGAGGGTGGTGGGCACCAGCATTTAGTTCCTATTGAGAAAGACAGCACGGTAATACAGTGATGTGTATCTCTCTCTCTTTTGATCTTGGTTCATAATTCACAGTGCCCCTCAAATTATTTCTAACTCTTAAAATTTGAGTTTTTGGGATACCTTCCTAAATTTTCATTCTTTTGTTATATTAAATACATTGTATGATTTGGTTTTTATTATTTGGTATAAAACTTATGCCCATGAAAAAAATTTGAGCATGTTCAGTAAATGTCACTTTCAAGTACTTAATACAACTGATTGTGCCCTCATATTGGATGTTGAACACTCCCAAAAGGTAATCACTTAAATCTATTAGAAATTTGCTTTATAAAAAGCGGCATTTTATTATAAATTACCTTAATAAAGCAGAAGATATAAGACAGTTTAATACCTAAGAAACTTGCAAATTTAGAAAAGCCATTCTCATAAAAATTCCAGCTCTTAATCTGCTCAGCTTGGCCTTGGAGTTTAGAAACAGTGTCATGGAGTTCAACATCTGGTTCCAGAGTTCAGAAACACTAAGTTTACTAGAACTTTCAGTTTTTAGTTTAATCCAAACTTTATCTTGATATTGTTAAGGCTAATTTATAATGAAAGCCAAATGTGCACTGATTCCTAGGACCAGTAGAGAGTGACTGGCTGTGAATTCAGTCTCCAAGCATAAAAGGTTTTTGTCATCTATAAGTCTATAATTTAGATTTCAGAATATTTTGACATTTGGGATTGTTAGATTAAAACATTTTAAAGAGCTCTGGTTCAAGGTGGTGACATAGGAGGCTCCTGAACTCACCTGTTCCCATGGACACCAAATCTCTAGCTACACACAGAGCAATTCCCCCTGAAAGAAATTCAGAAACTAGCTGAGTGACTCGTACATTTTGGGCAAACAAGAAAATTCCCACGTTGAGATGGGTAGGAGAAGCTGAGACACACACTTGCCATAAACCCCACCCCCAGCTCAGTGAGATACACCTGGGAGGGAAGGCACAACTCACGGCTTCCTGACGAGTGAGGGGTTTGGACCCAACATCTAGTGCTGCAACTTTTAACACTTCCACCTGAAGGCCGGCCCCAAAGCTCTGAAAGCCAACAGGGCTTGTGTCCATGAGACCCATAAGACCACAGCAAGGAAAGAAACAGTTTTTAACGGGCTCATGAGGACTCACTGTGGCTGTCCTCCCAGAATTCAGTGCAGAGGCAGCAGACAGAAACACCCATCTCCCAGTCTTTCCCTGAAGGACGCCGATTTGCATATCTTAAAAGCTGCAGCCTGAGAGTTAGTCTCCTAATTCAGCACACACCTGGAGACTGTGATCCTCCCTGGAGATGGGGGAGGCCAGTGAGTGCCATCTCTGCATTCTTCCTCCAGCCCACTTCAGGCTGCTGGTGTCTCCCTGGAAGGAGCTTGTGCACATGCCCAGAGAATGTACCCTTGATTGTCTGGCTCTGGTGGCCAGCAGGGCTTGTGTTTGTGGGCTCCACAGGACTGTAGTAAACAAAAAGTTCTCAACTTGCTATCCCATGGCTCCACCCAGGGCTCAGCACAGAGGAAGCTGGCACCCATCTCCCAGTCTTTCCCTGAAAGAGGTCTATTCACATACTTTAAAGGCTGCTGCCTGAGGGCCCAGTTTCCAATCAGCCTGCATTGAGGTGCTGACTGAGGTCCTCCTCCTTGGAACACTGGCAGGTCTTGGTGGACCCTCAACTACTGGGAGCCACTAAGAACAAAGAGGGCAGCTTGGACAATCACAAAGGTTTGTGAGACAAACAAGAACTTGATAGACTGAATGATAAGGTTCGTCTCCTCATGAGCCTACTCCATCAAGGCTGGGAGAAGTTGTTTTATCTAATGCCCAGAAACTAACACAGAGTCAAGAAAAATGAAGAATATGTTCCAAACAACAAAAAAAACACAAGATAAAACTCCAGAAACAGATGTTAACAAAATGGAGATAAGTGATTTACCTGATAAAGAGTTCAAAATACTAAAGATGCTCACCAAGGTCAGGAGAATAATGCATGAACAAAGTGAGAATTTCAAAGACAGAAAATAAAGTACCAAACAGAAATCACAGAGCTGAAGAATACAATAAGTGAACTGAAAAATTCAATAGATTCAACAGCAGACTGGATGATGTGGAAGGAAGGATCAGCAGACTTGAAGACAGGGCAGTGGAATTCATCTAATCAGAAGAACAGAAAGAAAAAAGGATGAAAAGGAGTGAAGACAGCTTTAAAATGGTACCATGATGGGAACAAGCAGTAGAACACACTCCCTAACAAAAAAATTTTTTTTTGAGATATTGGAACTATCAGATACAGAGGACAAAACGTGCTTAAAATTTGTTTTTTAAGAAGACAAGGTTGAAATATCTTCAGAAACAGGAAACTATATAGTGACTTAGATTTTAGAAAGTACCAGAAATAGCTTCTAGAAAAGAGACCTGAAATTAGATACAACTGAAAAAAATTAGTAAGCAGGAAGAGAGGTCAGAAAAATTATCCAGAATGCAGCATAGAGAGACAAATGATGGAAAATACAGAAGAGAAGCTAATGATATAGGCAAGTAAAAAGACAAAAATTCTCTTATATATTTCATTGGAGTACCAGAAGGAGACAAGAAAAAGAATGTCCCAGAGGCAGTATTTGCAGAGATAATGGTTGAAGAGTTTCCAGAACTGATGAAAGACGGCAATCCACAGATTCAAGAAGTTCAATGAATCCAAAGCAGAGAGAATAAATCCACGTCTATCCATAGCAGAGTGACACTGCAGAAAAGCCAAAATAAAAGGAAAGCCTTAAAAGCAGCCAGAGGAAGAGAGTTTAAAGGAACAATAGTTAAGATTGCTGATGTTAAGTCATCAGTCAATGGAAGACAGAAGACATCGCAACATTGTCGACGTGCTGAAAGAAAACCATGCCCACCCCAGGATTATACGTTCAGTAAAAATAAGGACATTTAAAATATTAAGATGAAACAGACACTACTATATAAAGTGAAAAAGCTTTCTACCAGCAGACCTTCATAAATGGAAGTGTTAAAGGATGTACTTCAGGTAGAAGGTAAGTGATCCATCCAGAGGTGCTGAGATTCAAGAAGAAATGCAGAGTGAAAAAAGAGGCAACTATTTGGGTAAACTAAGTGAAAATTGATTGTATAAGACAATAATAATGTCTTGAGTGGGTGTTAAAATATGTAAAATTAAGGGGCTGGCCCCTTGGCTGAGTGGTTAAACTGTGTGCTCCATTTATGTGGCCCGGGTTTGCAGGTTCAGATCCCAGGTAGAGACCTACTCCACTCATCAGCCATGCTGTGGAGGCACCCCACATACAACGTAGAGGAAGATTGGAAGGGATTTTAGCTCAGGGCGAATCTTCCTCACCAAAAAACCCCCACAAAAACAATTAAATACACAGCAACTATAGTTGGGGTGGGATAAATGGAGATAAAGTGTTCCAAGGTGACTGCATTATTCAAGAGGAAGGTAAAAGTAATGAGTAACATTAAACTTTGAGAATGTAATGATACATGTAATTTCTAAGGTCTCCAATAAAAATGTAATCAACAAAAATAGGTTATAATGACTTCCAAATTAGGAGATCATGAAAATTCAAAAGAAGGCATGAAAGGAGGAGAAAAGAAGCAAAGAACAGATAGTACAGAGACAAAGCATAGGATAGCATGGTAAATTTAAACCCGAATATAGCAATTATTACATTAAATGTGAATAGAATAAATACCCCAGTTAAAAGATAAATATATCAGGCTAGATAAGAAAACAACACTAATTATCTGCTATTTATAAGAGACCCATCTGAAGCATGAAGGCATAGAGAAGTTCAAAATAAAAAACATGGAAAAAGACACGTCATGCAAATACCAAAAGCAGGCCAGTGTTGCTACATCATATAAAACATTTTAGGGCAAGAAGAATAAAAACAGGGTGACTTCATAATGATAAAAGATTACATTTACCAGGAAAAGAGTAAATATTAATTGTGTATGAATGTAAGTATATGGCCTCAAATTATATAATGCAAAAATGGAGAAAACTACAAGAAGAAATAGACACAATGGGAGATTTTTACATATATATCCAACCAAAAAAGAAAGGGGGGGGATGGGGAGGGATAAAAGATTTGAATTACATGCTTTCCAGACTTGACCCATTGGAATATTTAGAGCACTGTACCTAAGGAATGGAGAATGCACATTCTTTTCAGATTTGACCAAATGGTCAAATGAGCTAAGCATTGATCTCAAGAAGTTAGAAAAATAAACAGTAAAATAAAACCAATGAAAATAGAAGGAAAGAATTTTAAAAGAACACAAACTGAAATAGAAAACAAACATAAACTAGAGTCTGAACAAAACTAAAAGTTGATTCTTTGAAAAGACTAAAAAAATTGACAACCCTATAGTGAGACTGATCAAGAGAAAAAGAGAAAAGGGACAAATTACCAATATTAGAAATGAGAAGGAGGTATCACTACAATGTAGACATTAAAAGATAAGAGGAGGGGCCAGCCCTGTGCCATACTGGTTAAGTTCACACACACTGCTTTGGCAGCCCAGGGTTTGCCAGTTTGGATCCCGGTTGTGGACCTAGCACCACTTATCAAGCCATGCTGTGGCACGCGTCCCACATATAAAATAGAGGAATATGGGCGCAGATGTTAGCTCAGGGCCAGTCTTCCTCAGCAAAAAGAGGATTGGCAGCGGATGTTAGCTCAGGGCTGATCTTCCTCAAAAAAAAAAAAAGATAGGCTATTATGAATACTTTTAGGCCAAGAATGTTAAATTTTAGATGAAATAGAAAATTGCAAGTAAACTATAGCTTACCCAACTTGCCCATGAAGGAGACACTAGTCCTATGACTATTAAAAAAACAGAATTAGTGATTAAAGAATCTTCTCACACAAAAAAACTATAGACCCAGTTGACTTCACTGGTGAACTCTACCAAAAATTTAAGGAGGAAATAATCCCAATATTATCAAATTCTTCCTATTAACATAAAAGAGTGTCCTCCTCAACTTCTGAGGTTAGTGTAACTGTGATACCAAAACTGTACAAGGTCAGTACAAAAAAGAGACTCTCACTTATGAACATAGATGCAAAAATCCTAAACAAAAATATTGACAAACTAAATCTAGTAATATTTTTAAAAGATAATATAATCTGTCCAAGCTACATTTATACCAGGAATGCAAGATTGTTTAGCACTGGAAAATTGATCAATGTAATTCACCATATTAACCAACAAAAGGAGGGAAAAAAATCATAATCATTTCAATATATGTAGAAAATGTCGCTGATAAAATTCAACAGCCGTTCATGAAAAAGATAAACTTGGTAACTCAGGAAGAGAATTTCTTTAATAAGGGTGTCTAAAGAACAAAAAACAATAGACATCATACTTAACGGCAAAAATATTAACACTTTCCCTTTGAGAAGAAGAATAACACAAGAATGCCTATTATCAACACTTTTTTTCTTTGAGGAAGATTAGCCCTGAGCTAACATCCACCACCAATCCTGCCCTTTTTGGTGAGGAAGACTGGCCCCAAGCTAACATCTGTGCTCATCTTCCTATACTTTAGATGTGGGATGCTGCCACAGCATGGCTTGATGAGCAGTGCATAGGTCTGTGCCTGGGATCCGAACGGGTGAACCCTGGGCTGCCAAAGCAGAGTGCATGAATTTAACTGCTGTGCCACTGGGCTGGCCCCATCAACACTTTTATTTAAAATTGTACTAAATGTTCTAGCTAGGTCTATAAGGCAAGAAAAAGGCATAAAGAGGTATAAGGATGGGAAAGTAAGAAACAAAACTCATTATTTGCAGGTGACATCATTGTCTACATAGAAAATCCAAAAGAATTTACAGATAGCATGTCTTACCAACTTTAAGACCCAGTTAAAAACATTTCAACATCTCTGTAACTGGGGTGCATCTCAGAATAGATGTCATAATTTAGTTGGAAGCCTTCTTAGTCTGTTTGGGCTGCTATAAGAAAATATCACAAGTAGCTTATGAACTGCAAACATTTCTTTCTCACAGTTCTGGAGGTGGGGAGGGCCAAGATCAAGATGCCACCATGGTCGCATTCTGGTGAGGGCCCTCTTCCTAGTTCATAGCTGGCACTCTCTTGCTGTGTCCTCACATGGTGGAAGAGGTGATGGAGCTCTGTGAGGTGTCCCATTCATGAAGTCTCCACCCTCATGACCTAGTAACCTCTCAAAGACCCCAATCCCCCAATACCATCATCTTTGGGGGTTAAGACTTCAACATATTAATTTTTGGGGGAAACAAACATGCGGACCATAGCATCTTCTTAAGAATAATAGTACATAGGGCCAGCCCGGTGGCACAGTGGTTAAGTGCGCATGTTCTGCTTTGGTGGCCTGGGGTTCCCTGGTTTGGATCCTGGGTGCAGACATCGCACTGCTTGACAGGCCATGCTGTGGTAGGCATCCCACATGTAAAGTAGAAGAAAATGGGCACGGACGTTAGCTCAGAGCTAATCTTCCTCAAAAAAAAAAAAGAAGAATACATAAATGGTGTATCTTATAATTGATTGTATATTAGGTACATTGAAATACAGTAAGTTGTTAGAATTTTATGACAGTTTATCAAGGTTGTTTGATTCAGTCAATACACCAAAAATTAATATTTAAGTACACTCGCACCTGATGTCAAGATGGCAGCATAGGCGGACTCTGAACGCACCTCCTTGCATGCAAACAACAAATTTACAACTACTCTGGGAAGAATTACCCCTAGGAGAGAACTGAAAACTGAATAAAAAGAACCCCCACAACAAGGGACAGTGCTGACTGAGGTGGAAAAGGCAGAAATTCCTTTCTGAAGAGAAAAATGCCAGCTTCGAGCTGCAGCACCTCATGGCTGGCC